ATTTGAAACAAGAACCAACACCAGGGGCCACGGCTATAAGCTAAAAAAACCTGTGCTGCAACTTCTCCACGCAACAAAATTTCTTCTCGCTTCGAATCGCCGACATGTGGAACAGCCTCCCCAATGACATCGCGTTGGCGCTCCGAGTATGAACGCGTTCGAGAACAGACTAGATAAAGCTACGGAAAAATATATGTTCAGATTTGAAATGCCTAGCACCATATTGCACCCGGTGGAAGTCTAGTAGCTATTTCAAACTATCGTCAGTCTTGAAAAGATCTGGTCAAATGACGTGATTTTTGATCTTCTGTGAACAAGGCACGAAAAGGAAAAGAATCGGTGACAGCCACATCAGGCCTACACTTCAGCGCCGAGATCACTATGTTATGTTATGTCATTGAAGCTTCATAAACAGCCAAGGCTGTCGCATGAGCTGTTCCCGATGTTATATTTGAAGCTGATAATATTTGATAGACTCCTTCGTCGCATAAAAGAATTAGAAGATATTTACAGTTAATTTTTCACTGTAAATTAGTAATGATTTTCCTTGCAGGTGCAATCGAGGAACCGATGTAGGGCAGCAGTTGGAATGAATTCAACATTTAAGCCTTCTGTAATATTCAGGTGACGCCTGATTTGTTCTCGACGAGCGGAAGAATAGCCGCTCGTCGAGAATAGGCTCAGAAATTTCTATATCATATCTATAGGCCCAGTCAGCCTCCTTGTCTGGCGCGTCGTGACATTGGCTCATCACTTAACGAGCGCTCTTTCAGAGACCTTGCGATTGTAGTTTATTCTTTTTCTTGAGATATCTTTTTGCTGGCTTCTTCTGTGCTTTTATTTTTACATACCGGCTACCTTTTAGTTTTTTGTACCAATGCAATATCAACAGCATCCATTCTTTCTTAATGCTTATTTTTTCCTTTAAGAGCGACAATAAGAAACCCATGTACGAGAATATCTGTCACGGCATGAGCGGTAACGAAGGTGTCGCACAATTTATTTTTCCTATCATTCTTCTCCTGCAGTTCGTTTGAACACTTGACCTTTTTCTCAGTTTTTTCCCACACTTGCATAACTTCCTGCGCAGCAGCAGCGCTTTTCTCCCAGCTTTTGGTACTGAGACAGGCCAATCACCTCATTCTTTGACGGTAAGTTCGTCGTGCCGAGTGCTGGTGACAGTTGAGCAATGAGCCGCACATCTGTCGCCAATCTAAGAACAGGTTTAACTATCAATTCTTCAGGCTCCGTTGCGAGGATTCATATCATCATTGTCAAAATACTTGTTAAAAAAACTAAAAATGTATCAGGAGTAATGTCATAACAAGATTTCAAATGGAACTGGAGAATTATTCCGGGAAACACGATTAGTTTTCTTCAAATTAACAAGGAACATTGCTGAGGCTGAACGTCTACCGAGCTATCTTCATGCCTCACAAGGCTACATGCATCTACAAATGAACCATCATAAGGATTGTCATTTGATCTTACTAATATTCGAGTAGTTTAAAGCTATGTAGCAACTTCTAAACAATATAAAATTTGCACGAAAATCCTAGACTCGTTTCCATCAGAGGAACCTAAGGACAGGGTGCCACCGTGAGAAGGCAAAATCGAATGTCGGAAAATATGCATGAGCCAAGTGTGTGTAGGGCCGTCCCGCTAACAAGGTAAGCAATACGCGATGTATGTCGGATTATTTAATTCACTCATCAAAAGGACGCAAGACCTGCAATGAGGGAAAATATTTGGCCAATTCCAATGGAGAAGAATATCCCCCCCTAAAAAAATCTATATAGGTTCAAGAACATTTGGGCTTATGAGCAAACAACAAAATTTGTTTCAATAAATAAGAAGCAAACGCGTTTAAGTAGAGAAAGCAAACCCCAGAAAAGCTACGATAAGGAAGACGGCAAGAATAGAGGATTTGGCATTCAATCCATGTTTATGAAGAGTAATTATTCAAAATAAACTTGAGAAATAACAAGACTTGCTAAATTCCACTAAACAAATAGCTTCTTCAGAAAAAAGACACGAAATTACTGCACCATGATTGGCAAAGTGATGCAGTTGTATTTAATCATCAATGCAGATTCTTGATTAATCAAGCGCTAAATTTATAATTTGAAAATTAAGCCTTTTGCGACCGCAACCAATAGCGGAACATGAAACAATAAATTCCAGTACACAGACCAGGCAATCGGCGGTCATCAATGACTCAAATCCATTGAAGTTTACGCAGCAACTAAGTTGAGTGCACGCAAAAAGCGTACGATAGTTCTAAAATAAAGTCAAAAAGTTTGTAACTACCGGGGTATGGTTAGGCTATTCCAGTAGATCCTACGGTTGCATATTTCTAGTACGATTTTGAAAATGGTTTTAGTGAAAGCAAGAGCAAGAACAAAATAGTTTCTATGGTTCCTCCCATGATAAAGTTAAGCTTAAACACAGTTTTTAGAACATCAAGATTGTTATATCCGACGTGTGGTTTAAAAAAAAAATAACTTCAAAGACACCTAATCTCCTTTATGGTCATTGATTTGTTTAAAAAGTTCATCAGCGTCTTCAGAAGTCTTGACCCTGATGAGCATTGTGACCGGTTTATCTGTTCCTTCCTTGTTATCCAACGGTGGGTTGGGCACGCACACAATGAGGACGTTGTTCTTACCCATCCTCTGTGTAGGAAGAGAAGAATTCAAAACAATGTTTAGCAAAACATTGCCTAGAGCCGTTGCAGCCCTCATGATGAGCTGCGTCTTCTTGGTGTCACCGACCGTCTTCAGGAAGAGAGTCCCAACTCCCCTGTCAGCGTAGCTTCCATCTTTCTTGTAGAAAAGTTTGCACTTCTTTTCATAGAAGGAGTTCTCTTCCTTGACCTCCAGCACTTCGGGTTTGGGTGGCGTTTCTTCTTCATCTTCTTCCGTTTTGGAGTCGGAGGCTATTGGTGGTACAGGTGCAAAAGTCAAGGCGCTTTTTGATCCAAAGCCAGAGAAACCAGAGCCTTCCTTTGCTCCCGAGGACAAGGCACCTCCGCCAAATGAGAACCCAGTGTTCTCTTTTGCTCCAAAATTCATTCCTGAACCTAATGAGAAACCTCCACTGCCGCTGCCAGACTTGGGAGCTACTGCTGCACCAAAGCAAAAAAGTCCAGAAGTAACTCCTTCAGGAAATGATTGCTTAGGATCTAGAGTCCTGACATTTTTATCCTTCGATTCGCTGAAAGTTACAGATGGAACAGAATTGGTTGACGTGGAAGACATGAATGAAAAAGCAGGCTTCGAGACATCTACTTTTCCAGGAACTGGATTCTCTTTCGGTTTCAAGTCAGTTCCTCCTCCAAAAGAGAACACCGGTTTTACACTATCAGTCACAGAAAACGCAGCTTCATTGGCGTTCTTTGGTGATGTTACATTAGTGGAAGATAACGAAGGAGAACTTGAGGCACTCGAAACAACGGTAGATGATGAAGCAGAAGAAGTACTTGCACTCTTCTCAAATTTAGGCATAAATTGTTTTTCTAGAGCATCAAAGTGTTTTCTGTAGTCATCAAAGACAGGATTTAAATTGATGAGACAATTGGCCGTTACGTGCTTGTGAACCCACTGCAGTACACCTTCATTCAATAACTTCAATTTCTCATGAAATACTTTGTTACTGTCTCCTTCGCTGCCAGATAACTTTTTCAATAACTCGCTGGAGCTTGCCGATCCATTGACAGAAGTTGAATTGCTTTCTAAAGGTTTAGAGTTCTCCTTGTTGCTAGTAGAAGAAGAAAAGCTGAATGTAGGTAATGTTGAAGAGCCAATGCTAGTGCTTGGTTTGAAACTAGATGCTTCAAAGAGCTTCTTCATTTCAGATTTTGGTTCACTTGAACTTTTAGCTCCAAAATCAAAAGTGGTTGCAGAGCTGCTAGCATTCGTCATGCCAGAGAAGCCAGAGAAGTTCTTGAAGACACTGGGCTTGTCACTGCCATCCGAAGTGACCAAGTCAGACCTACGCTTGGCTACTTTGATCTTGCGCCTGGCTAACTCTTCCTCAGACGCGCGCTGAAAAGCTCCATCACCAAATGCCTGAAAAAAGCCTCCTGTGAATTACAAAATAAAATATTGTGCTTGGTGTAATAGATTACTAGATACAACATGAACCAATTATTTGATTGCAAGTGCATTCATGAATGTTTTGAAACGTTTTAGCTGCAGAAGCACTAGGTAATTAAATGGATAACGACTTACAAGAGATTAAGGCTAGAATTGTAGAATCAACAAATAAAAACTGTACGATGAAGATGCCTTAAATATTGGTCTATATTTTATTTGCTATAGTTTTCATTTCTTTCTATTTACCAGGTAATATTAAATTAGCAAAAATGTAGGCTGAAATGGGGGAAAATTTTATGGTAATGAGACTATGAGAGACATAAGAAAATTGGTCATGAAACTTACCATTACTTTTATATTACAATTGAGACAAATTTAAGAGACTGAATGATCAGTAGTAGATTGAGAGAAATATATACTCAATTCCCAAAAAATAATTTAAACTAACATCTCAGTGTAATAAAAAATATTTGCCTTTACCTGTTGTTCTGGTTCATCATCTTGGTCCCAGTTGTCCCTATTGAGGTCTGACCCAGCAGGACGCTTCGCCATGGTCACAGCGGTGCCAACAATTTACTCAAGTGGCTGAAGAGGAACTGCTACGTTAAGTAACACTGAGAAACTCACACAGTCTAGAAATCTGCAAAAATGAGTACAAATTAATCAATATGTACACATATATAATTAGAATAATTAATAGTCCAAGCATTTATTTATTAGGTTTATGGCTACTTTGGCAACCTGAGAATATTAGACTATCTCTATAACTAATGAGGGAATGAAATGAAGAACAATATTTTGTCTGATTATTGTACACAGCAATATTCTTAGTTTTTAGTAGTTAAAATTACAGTAGATCAAACAATAGGAAAAAAGTTGATTCATTCAAGTTTAATTCATAAGTATGACTTTGACAAGTCAAGAAGTTTGATCTTGCCTCTATGTTAAAACAAACTTCAAATCCAAGATCAGGAAGAATATAAAAAAATCTATTACTAGAATATGAATAAAAACAAAAATCTTCATGCAAGAGCTACAGTGATTTTATTGAATTGGATTATTTACAGACTTGAAGTATCTCTCTTGAGTATTTCTAAATTCAGTATCTCAGCCTGGGCACTCAGTTGCACTGGTGAGAAGCATAGGAATTTATTTCATTTATTCATTGATAATTTAGATTAAATTTTGTCCTTGTTATTATTTTAATTTTATTGATGTTGATCACCTAATTGTGTGATTTCATTTGCTTATGTTTCCTTGTATTTTACATTTTTTTCAAACCTTATCTAAAGATTTCCATATGCAGAGGTGGGCAGTAGCGTGCTACATGTAGTGGCCACTACATTTTCAGTAGCAGTAGTGGCGCTACATTTAAGGCAATGTAGCGGTAGTGGCGTTACATTTAAGGCAATGTAGCGGAAGCACCCGCTACATATTCAAATAACTATATGAAGTTTTTCCACTACAACGCTACTACTACATTTATAGATAAAGCCTTTAGATTTTACTTATTTTTTTATTTATTTTTATACTTATAGATTTTACTTATTATTTAAAAACCAGCATGATACATACATAATATAAATTACAGAATAAAACTGTACAAAAATTTTGGTGTAATGTTGTCAACCTTAGCCTGTTACTAGTGTCAACATGTTAGTTGTTACTTGTTAAGTTGTTACCAGTTAACACTTACAGGCATTTTTTCATTTTTCAGCTTGCTTACAGTTATTTTACTCAGTTATTTTTATGGTTTGCCTTCCCTACATGGATGTCTACTTTAATCTACCAACCTCAAAAATAACCCACATATATATATATACAAAAAAGACTGATTTTTCATATGTATATGTGGGTAATTTTTGAGGTTGGTAGATTAAAGTAGACATCCATGTAGGGAAAGTAAAACATAAAAATAACTACATTATATTTACTGTATCTAACCCATACTAGTTTGGTTAGGTTAATTGCAATGAAGTTGAATTGATATGTTTTCAAAATGTTTTACTATCATTAAATGTTTATGAGTAAATCCCAATAGCAGAACAATAAATATTTGGAGATTTCCCATAATTTTGGCCATTGTAGTGGCTAATGTAGCAGCGCTACATTTTACTGTAGTGGAAGAGGTGGCGCTCGCTACAATCTGGTGGGTGTAGCGGTAGCGCCCGCTACATTTAGAGCATGTAGTGGTAGCAGCCGCTACATTTCAAAGTAGCGCTGCCCAGATCTGTCCATATGTTAATAGTTACAGCATGGACAGAAGCTGCTATCCCTTATGGGAGTTAACGGTTCTTGAATTTCTAATATTTTGCATCCCTAGTGTGGGTTTCATCCCAGCTACCTACTACAATTCTTGTCAAGGCAGTAAGGAGGCCAGGCAGTTAAGCACAGTAAAATGAGAGCACTGAGTTGTGTGTTTGAGACCCCAACAAGCTGCGAAAATTCTGCAATGTTAAGAATTTGGTGACTGGTAAAATGCCCTAATGAATGCTGAAACCAGCATCTCCCAACTTGAGAGCAACATTAGAAGTGTTAAATTTGTCCACAAGTTGAATCTGACTAGGAGGGTTTTCAGGCCTAATAGGGAAGTTTACATCTATGCTGGGGATAAAATGATTCCTACAAAGTTTAGGCTTGTTAATTGCATTTGGGTTGAAGGGATAAACTCAGAACTTTCTCAATCAAGGTCTGATGTTTGAAGCCAACCTCAAAATATTAGAAGCAGTTTCATGATACACATAACTTTTCTTTGCAATCCACAGACTTCCTCAAAAAGCTTGCCCAAATTTTACAAGCTCTGAGGGACTTTGAGAGATTTGTAGACAGCAACCTCAAATGGCTGACAGAGATGGGTTGTGAGAGGCTTTGATGCTATAGAAATGTCATGTTTTTCTGCTTGACATGGGCAATATCTGCAGGAGCAGTGCAAGGCACTGCAGCAGAATCAGCAGCAGAAGTATTGATCCATCTGTTGATGGCTTAGCAAATGTCAAGAATATTTGCGTGAGCCACCGTAGGACAAGTTCACAATCCATGAAGACAGTGGCTTGTTTGCCATCCAAAGCAGTGTCAGAGCCATCAGTTGCTTAGTTGCTTAATGGAAATGAGACTCTAAACGATCATTGGAGCCACTGCAACGTGGGATGGTGAAACACAGCAGTAAATGCTAATGTATTACTGTAATGTCACTTGTTGAGAATAAAAATTATTCACTCACCGTGGCAAGAGAAAATTCTGCAAGGACTTGTTGAGGTCCACAACTATGTCATGGGGCTGTTCACTAAAGTTATGACATTCTGTAACATCTTGCACTAATAAAAAGAAATCATCAAATTTTCATTTGTTGAAAAAATAGTTTGGCCACAATCTAAGCATTTGGCTCTCCCATGAGTGACCAACTCAGGGCCTCTGGAACGAAACTTCAACTGCCATATGTAGCAAGGCCCTCTCTCCCCAAAAATGTCTCTTGGACCTATGGTCAGTGCACCAGGCATACATTATGATTTAGGCCAGTCATAGGAAAACCTCTATTGACCAAATACTCAAATGTAATTACAGCATGCTCTTCTGACAGCACAGTCAGTTTGCCCAGTAAATAGCCCTCCCTGACTCAATGCAATGTGATCCAAGAGTGTGTGGCACACACATAAGGATACAGGCAGTGCAGAAAGTGTGAAGATTCTCCTCTCTGCAGGCTGCAAGAGCATTTTTCATGTCCTTCTGCCTCCACAATTTCAGTTTTGTTCATTTACTTGAAGTCATATTGAATGATAAAAATAATTGTATTAACATACTTGAACAAATGCATGTACCATATTGATCACACAAAATAATGTACATAAATACCGTCAACCGGGGTTACTCGGGACAGTTTTGAGCATTTTATAGTTAATAACTGTTAATAACTACTTACGATGAAACACTTCATAAACAAGTTCAGGCTCATTTTATAGCTCTTTGCGAGGGCTATCGAATGGCATTGTCAAGAAAATTCCATATGCTATTCCTAAGGTGCCAGAAGCAAAAAAAAGTGTCCCGAGTAGCCCCGTCGACCGGGGCTACTCAGGACACTTGCAATGAAACTTCATTTTAAAATATTTGAAGCATGCAGAGTGTACTCATCCNATCCTGCAAGCTTACAGATACAGAAGAAATGCTACATGGCTGCTGATATGAAGCTTGCAATCGACAAGGTTGTTGTCAATGCTCAATGGCATGTCCATGGATACAGTAATATCACATTAATTAATACGGTAATTAATGAATATGGTAATATCATATCAATAAAAGAAAAACAAGTAAAAATCACAGAAAATGTCATTTATTTTACATCTACATCATCTACAATGAAAGAGGATGACTTCAAAGTACTGTTAGTAATGGATGAGAACCTGTCTCTTATACACATCTAGATGTGTATAAGAGACAGATACTAAACCATGAATAACAATACCTCAATATAAATTAAAGACTGCCACTCAATATATTTAAATATATGAAAAAATAAAAAAAAAACAAAAAATAAAAAATAAAAAAAATCATGATTTTTTTTTTTAAATCAAGTGATTTAATTATATGATTTAAACATTTTGATTTAATCATTGCCAACCCTGACTCATCTATTACTAACAGTACTCTGAAGTCCTCCTCTTTCATTGTAGATGATGTAGAGGTAGAATAAATAACATTTTCAGTGATTTCTACTTGTTTTTCCTTTATTGATGATATTACCATAAACATTAATTACCATCAACTGGGGTGACTTAGGCTGCGTTTTTGATTTTGTTTTGCAAACAAAAATGGGGTTGTAAACGCCGGGGTCACAAATGCCAGGGTCGTAAACAAGGTCATAAACGCCCCAGTGACTTTGGGCATCGTTTATGACCCCACTTTTGTTTGCAAAACAAAATCAAAACACCACAAAACAAAATCAAAAATGTATTATTGATGTGATATTACTGTATTATTGATGTGATATTACCATATCCATGAACATGCCATTGAGCATTTACAACAACCTTGTCCACTGCAAGCTTCATATCAGCCGCCTTATAGCATTTTTTCTGTATCTGTAAGCTCACATAACGGCTTGTAATTTCACACCATTTTAATTGGGTTGAGTGAATTTACCATAATAAAAATATAACTCGGTACTCACTGCAGTGAGTGACAGCGCGCATTTTCTCGTCAACGAAAACTTGAGGTCACAGACGAACGGTCAGACGGACAGACAGACAGACATGGCAAGCACAATAGTGCTCATTTATGCGCCATGCGCTCGTTTATGGGCCATTTCAATTGGGTTAAGTGAATTTACTATAAAAAAGATCGTGAAAAACATACCTGAAACAGAAAGGAAGGTTTTAGTGACAACCATCATATATTTTGGAGAAATAAATCATAGTTTAGGTCAACTACTTTTCATTCTATGATGCCCGGTGCACAATTATATATATAGCATTCTATGTTCAATTTTGTGACGACCAATGATGCACTAATTTTTCGATAAGTGAAATTTTTTTCATCAAGCGAGGTAAAGGTAATCAATATTCTTTGTTTTTAATCTATTTTTTTCTTAACTGGAGCCTTTGCTTACTGAGGTTCTCCTGTAAATGCGTTTTTGGGGGTGTCCCGAATAGCCCCGGGGGGGTGTCCCGAATAGCCCCGGGGGGGTGTCCCGAGTAGCCCCGCCCATCCCAAGTAGCCCCGGTTGATGGTACGCGGGTAGGTGATTTGGAGCGGTTCGATGAGGTGTTGGTTTCTGCCCTCTTGACCATCACCAATGTCAGCATTGAGCACGAATCTCTTGAACAAGCTGTGTTACCGGTCTGGCTGTGAGGTCTGGGTATCCGTATGTCAAAGGACATTGCGCTCCCTGCATTCATATCGTCACTCCACTCTGTCCGTGGCCTAGTTGATGCTGTTTTACATAATGCACGACTGGCCAAGGATGACAGTTTGCAGATGGTGGTGGATGAGTGGCGCAATGGGAACGCAGGTATTGCTTTGCCCGAGGACGCGAGTTTGGGCCGGCAGAGGACTTAGGATGGGCCTGTGGCCGCGGCCTCTGCAGTGCGGCTTTTGGAAGCGGCGGACCAAATATCTAGGGCTCGTCTACTGGCAGCGGCGAAGAGAGAGAGTGGCTTGTGGCTTCACGCTATTCCTTCGGATGCTCTTGGAACACTTCTAGATCTGTCTCTTATACACATCTAGATGTGTATAAGAGACAGAGCTTAGCCTATGAAGCAATGCTCTCACTTGAGCCATTTGTCTCCCTCTCTCTTCGTTTCCGGCCAAGCTGATTCTGAACAGGCACAGAATCCAAAGGAGTTGCTTCAATGAGGCTCTCACTCTCACAGTCTGATTCCTCCACCACCCCACCACCATCAGAAGATGCTTCCTCAACACTTGCACAAGCCTCAGCTGCTCCAATCACCATAGGCGGGCCAAAACCTGACCCCGTAAGGCAGCTAGAAGCTTCCATAGGGAAGAGACGAAA